AAAATTTCTTGTGGTCAAGTCCTAATTCTTCGAATAGAAGGTCTAATTATTAGGTTAATTGTACGTTCTAATGTGTGTATATCAGCAAGATTACATTGTGACATATTAGGTGAATCTCACATCGACAAAATACTAGAGAGAGATATTGAGTATATAAGTAAATAAGCATTAGACCCTAGTGACGCGTTTTAAAGCTGTGCGGGCTAATGCCCAAAGCGAACAATATCATTAGTGGGCTAAGCTGTACATATGATATCAAGATTCACTCCGCGTTCCTGTACATATGATATCAAGATTCACTCCGCGTATAACCTTGAAGGATGGTAAGAAAATCTCATTCCGAGAAGTTTAGAAAGAAAAATAAAACCTTTATTTCTGTTTTTGTTGGGTGAAGCAAAATGCAACTTCTAGCAAAATAGACATGCATGCATGATACTTAGTGTTATTTGTAACATTCACTCTATTGCAAGTATTCTGTGGCAACAAGAAAGTTTCCTTAGCTGAAATTCCCTCGATTTACAAATACACATGAAAATATGAAACAAGTAAATTTTTAGCTAATGTACTTCAATCCCCGTTTCCCTCAAAATAATGTACTAGTTCCTTTGGCTAATTAACTTACATTTGCTGAAAATGGGATTTGCTGTGTATATACTTGCATCCCTGATTAAATTCAAGTTGGTCAAATCATCAGCTATTTAGTTGATCAATCCAGAGGCGGGCAGTTTCAACTGAATCCATTGTTTTTGGTATGTACGAAAAAGAAAGTTTAGAACGTTGGTATATAATAAGATCATACTCATTCTGAACGCTCAGACTCTAGAATCTGAATTTGCCTCTGGATCGATCCTTGTTTAACCAGAACAACATCCACCTTTCTTAACAGCAGATACATCATCTTTACCAATGTTAATAGTTTGTCCTCTGGGCACAGATGTTGGATCATCTCCTATATCAAGAGCTTTTCGACTGACCACTCGATAAATCTGTGTAAGCACTTCTGTGAAAGCATTTTCTACATTCAATGCCTCAAGTGCAGATGTTTCCATGAAAAAGGTATTCTCTCTTTCTGCAAAACCACTTGATTCGCCCGTGGGAACAGCACGAAGATGGCGAAGATCCGCCTTGTTTCCGACGAGCATGACGACGATGTTTTGGTCTGTGTGATCTCTGAGCTCCTTGAGCCATCTTGCTACATTTTCAAATGTTACATGTCGAGTAATATCATAAACCAGTAATGCACCCACTGCTCCTCGATAATATGCACTTGTAATGGCACGGTACCTTTTATGAGGTAGAAAAGATGATTAGAAACAATGATTCAAGGCAATATTATGGAGGAAAAATATCGTAAATATTGCGAAATGAACGATTTTGGAAGGGGAGCCTTGGAGCAACGGTAAAATTGTCTTTGTATGACCTATAGGTCACGGGATCGAGCAGTGGAAGAAGTCACTAATGCTTGCATTAGGTTAGGCTGTCTACATCATACCCCTTGGGGTGTGGCCCTTCCCTGCACCTTACGTGAACACGAAATACTTTGTGCACCGTGCTACTCTTTATTGCGAAATGGACGATTTGTATGACCATTTTAGCTTAAACGGATAGAGAATAATATACTTTGAATTACTTAATAATATTGTGTCTCAATTATAAACCAGTAAGCACTTGTGATGGAAACAATATTCCAGGCAATATAGGGGAAAATATTGTAAATTGCAAAATCAATGAACTAGAGCAAGTGGGAGAAGAAGGATTCTTTTCCTAGAATTTTTTCATATTCAACCAAAACTTCACTTCTTCTCTCCTTTTCCTATTCAAACGGATTTCCACCATGGGGATTCAAAAAAATAATAAAAAAAATACATGAATAAGTTAAAGAAATTCAACATCTAATATATATACATAACAAATATATTAATGCATGTAGCCATACATTCGTCAATAGATAGAAAGACAAACTTACATGATAAAACCGACTAGGAGATGGGATTTATTAAATGTAGTAACGGATTTAACAACAGGATTTGCGGATTCGACATAATGCACTGTTTCACGGCCGAACCTTATACCTTATATAAGGTTCTACCATGAAACATTGAATTTTGTCTTTATAGAATCTTTTGAGAATCAACTCTCTCAATAAAAAAAAGGAAAGATTCTGAATTGAGAGAGTGAATTCTGAGATGTATATATCTAATTCTATAATATCTATACTTGTTTATGCCCATATGTATACACACAAAGTTCGGCCGTAAAACAGTGCGTTCCGTCGAATCCACATATCCATTGTTAGATCTGCCACTATATTTAAATCTCATTTTTCTCAATTCAGAAACTACAACGTCTAAATTCCATATCCGACACTATTTATATGAATGAAAAGAGAATGGTAAAGGGGAAGGATGTCACCTTTCTTGGCCAGCAGTATCCCAAATCTGAGCTTTGATAATCTTGTCATCGACATGAATGGTACGAGTGGCAAATTCAACGCCAATGGTAGACTTTGATTCTTGGCTAAATTCATTTTTAGTAAAACGAGAAAGCAAGTTTGATTTTCCAACACCAGAATCCCCTATTAACACAACCTTAAATAAGTAATCATAATCTTCATCTGCCCTATATGCCCCCATTTTCCCTTTTCTTTAATCTTTATTTTTGTGGTTAAATTCTTCTACATATGAATGAGAAATTTCACTTTCTCTTTTGAGTTATTTTTTTACCTTTCACCCTCCCTTCTAATTGGCTTTTTTTTCTTTTGGATTATTGTGGATTGAAAGAGAGAGGGAGAAAGAGAGAAAATGGGAGAGAGAGAGAGAGAGAGATTATAATAAAATGAATATTCTTGGATTAATGATTTACCTCAAATAAAATAACAAATCACCTCTCCTTTTGTTTAGGAAAGATGGAGGGTAGGAGTTTTTCAGTTTGGCATAAAATATGATATGTTGTTAAAATTAAGCCTATAAATAATTATAATGAAGATTCAAAAAAGCACAATGCACCTAATGGAGTGACTAATTATTATGGTTCATTTTTTTTCCCAAGAAAAATTGAAGAATGAAAAATGCGACACATGTGTTTTTAGATTTAAACATTGTTTTGGAAAATATTGATAACTTTTTTTAACTAATTAAGTTATTAGTTGACGTTTTGATAGATTGGTTTCTTACAAATCATTCATTTCCAGCGTAAAATCCGCAAGTTTTGATAAATTTTTTAGTTTTATTATAATTAATTTTCAAAAATTGTGAAATAGATTTCTTTTTGGCGAAATCACACATTAATGAAGTCAATAAACAATTGCTGAGGTAGAATATAAAGCAAGAAAAATTGAAACTTTGAATGAAGAGCAACACAGCATATCAAGTGGATCATAGCTCAATTTAACAAAATGGTAATATTTAATGTGAAATGAGCTTGGTTATGAAATTTAGGTACAAATGCTCGACATTTTGCAGTTTAAATTCATTCTATAAAAAGTTATAACCTTTCTATATATTGAAGGTGCAACGGTGCGTATACACCTTTTTGGAAAAGAAAACAAGTGTTTTGCCCGGGGACACACTATTACTTCATCTCTCTCAAATTATCTGTCGTGATTTCTAAAAATAATTGTTTCAAATTATTTGTGTTACACCCTGTGCATCCCAAGGTGACGTATAATGAATATGAAACTTGTTAATCATGATTTAAATAATTTTAAAGTCATAATATGACCATATATGATGTTTGGATAGAAAATATAAAGTTTGGAAAAAATCGGATTTAAGTTGCGGACAAACCGACTAAGGATTTGTCTTGTAACAAGGCTTTTTGAGAAATAAATTTTGTGTACTATATGAGGTCATTTTGGGACATATTATATACCAAATTGAAGGTCTTGGAATGTAATTTTTAATGCTTTTAACCGTTCGTTCATACGACATCCGGATAAAAAGATATAAGCATCGGAAGATGGACGAATGAGAGGGTGCCAAGCTAGCACCTCTTTGACTTTTTAAAAGTTGATATATATATCTTAACTCGTCTATGTGAACACCTAATTTTTGATCACACCCCAAATTCTATTCTATTTTAGTGTAAATATTTCTTTTAGGTCTAATCTTGATATTTTAAATTTTATCTCATTTTTCATTGGTTTTATTGGAGAAAAATTAAAAAGCTACAAAAAAAAAAGCATATTCTTAGAGTATATATTTTGTTCCTATATTTAAATAGAAGAAAAACATTTTTTTTAATTAAAAACTTAATAAGTAGACTAGTAACTTTTAATTTATTTTTA